GGGGCTCTGGGGCCTGGCTGGGAAGCGGGCGGTGGCACTACTGGCCGTTCCTGGGCTTCCCCCAGCTCAACCCCAGGTGGACGGAGGAGGGCATGTCCTTCCCCAGAGGGAGCAAAGGTAGCGGCCAGGACAGGGGACCGCACTCACGCCCACTCCTGGGGGCGGTGGTCCTGCCTGGGGTCTTTCCTATGAAGCCAAGGGTTGACATTGCCCACAGAGCCCTGCAGGGAGGAGGGGCTGCGGCCCCTCTGGCTGTTGGAGGAGCCCCCTGCCTCCTGCCTGGCCTTGCTCCTTCTCCTTATGTTGATCTGCTGCTGTTGAAGGGACAGCCGAGGCGCAGGTGCTCCTGCTCCACCACAGAGCGCGGGGCTGGCCGTGACAAGTCGGGGAAGGGAGCCCAGGTGTCTGGCCCACTCTTCCTCCCACACTGGACCCTGGGACCTGCCACTGGGGCAGCCCCAGGCAGAAGGGCCGAGGACTTAGCCAGCCACAACTTCTGACAGTTCACACACACACATACACACACACACACAGAGTCCTTTCTCCTTTCTTTGCTGTTTCCTCTTCCTACTCGCCCTGAAAGCTGGTTCTCCACTCACCTGAGCACCTGGTGGCTGAGAGGGGGCCACAGGGGGAGAGCAGACAGCCAGCCTACAGCTGGATCAGGCTCACATTCCGAGCCCAGCCCCAAGCCTCCCCCTACCCAGCATCCTGTCTCCACCAGACAATAACCTGAAATCCCGGCAGCAGCCTACACTTGAGCCACAGAGCAGGTCTGCAGAGGAGCGGCTGAAAACAAGTTTGTTAGCAAGGGACTGGGGGAGGGGGAGGGAGCTGTTTGCGCGGAGAGGACGGAAACTCAAGCCCAGAGCTAATTAAGCCACCCAGAGACACAGACGGAATCTTTGTCTTCTGTGAGGGCAGGGATCTGAGCTAAGCCCCCTAATTCTCTACCCAGACAGCCTAGCCTTTCCTGGTGGTTCCCGGGTGGGGGATGCTGATGGCCAGGGTCACACCTGGGCGCCCAGCCTGGGGCACTCTGCCACCTGCCACCGCATCAGAACAGCAGCAGGAGAGGGGGTCAGGCTGCAGGAGGAGCCAGTGGCCTGAGGGGAGCAATGTCTTGGAAACCTGCACCCAAAGGCAAAGGTGTGTGGGTGGTCCCAGTGGAGGAACCTGCAGCCCAGGGAGATGCTGGAGGATGGGGGGGTGGGGCAGAGGGCTCCGGGCCTCCTAATGGGACTGAAATTAACCCAGAGCTCATCAAGCCAGTGACTCAGGCGTGACCAAGCTCAAGATCTTGACCTCCAGGGCCAAAAGTATGCCAGAGGCTCGCAGGGTTACAGAGAGGAGAGGGGCAGATACAGGCGGGAGCGGGGGAGGTCTGGGGGATGCCCCCCCCGCCATCCTTGCCCTGAGAGCCCTCCCTGCCTCCCTGTGTCCTTGCCCGCCCCACCGAGGTCCCTGTGGCCTTTTTATTTTATTTTATTTTTTATTTTTTGACAGGCAGAGTGGACAGTGAGAGAGAGAGAGAGAGAAAGGTCTTCCTTTGCCGCCGGTTCACCCTCCAATGGCCGCCGCGGACAGCGCGCTGCGGCCAGCGCACCGCGCTGATCCGATGGCAGGAGCCAGGAGCCAGGTGCTTTTCCTGGTCTCCCATGGGGTGCAGGGCCCAAGCACCTGGGCCATCCTCCACTGCACTCCCTGGCCACAGCAGAGGGCTGGCCTGGAAGAGGGGCAACCGGGACAGAATCCGGCGCCCTGACCGGGACTAGAACCCGGTGTGCCGGCGCCGCAAGGCGGAGGATTAGCCTAGTGAGCCGCGGCGCCGGCTCCTGTGGCCTTTTCAGAGAGCTCCAGGCCTGTGTGTGCAAGGGTCCTCTCTCCTCCAGGCTCAGCTGGCAGGAGGCTGGCAGGGGGTGGGGGTGGCATTCTGAACTAGAAGGCTGGGTGAGTCCTGGCCAGGATGGGGAGGAGGACTGTGGGCTTTGGGAGGCAGCCTTTGGGGAGCGGAGCAGAAGAAGGCTGGCTCCTCCCCGCCATGCAGTGGAGGTCACCAAGGCAAAGGCTCCGAGCCCTGCTGGAATCATCTTGCTGGGAGCACCCTGCCCTCTCTGGGCCATCCCCTCCTCCCACTCCTGAACACTGTGGCTCAGTCTCTCCTAACAGATGCTGCTCTCCTCGGCTGGTGGGGGTTTGTGAGATGGGATTAGAGTCAGAAACCTGGGGCCAGTGCTGTGGCCAACTTGTTGAGCTGCTGCCTGCAACACCAGCATCCTATATGTGCACAGGTTCGAGTCCCGGCTGTGCCACTTCCCATCTAGCTCTTTGCTAATGCACCTGGGAAGACAGTGGAAGACAGCCCAAGTGCTGGATGGGGTTCCTGCTGTCCTGGCCATTGTGGTCATTTGGGAGAGTTAACCAGCAGGTGGAAGATTTTGCCTTCTGTAACTCTGCCTTTCAAACAGATAATAAATATTTAAGAATAAAATGAAGGCAGAACTCAGCTGTGTGGTCTTGGCTATGTCCCTTAATCTCTCTGAACCCCAGGATCGCGGATTGCCAGGCGAGGACTATAGGACAGCTCTTGTGCCCCCCCACCCCCGCAGTCCTGGGCTGGCCCCGCTTCACCCTCCGAGGCTAGAGCCAGCGGGGCTGCGCCAGCGCCCCTCTGCCTTGGCACATGATGGAGAGCCTCTTCAGGTGGTTTAGGGGAGTGTGTGTATGTGTGTTGGAGGGTAGAACCACTTAGGTCAGCCTTGGCGGGGAGGAGCCTGGTGCCCATACCCCCTGGGAAGCAGGGTAAAGGGGTGAAGATGGCCTGACCAGTGCTGGGGAGGAGGCTCAGAGCGGGAAGAGCCCCCGCCTCCCTGCCTGTGACTGCCTGTCACTGTGGAGGCCTCCAGCCCCGCAGGCTCCTAATCAAAGTGACAGCTCCTAGGGAACAAGCGCCCTGCCTGGCTGCCACCAGCGTGAAGCCAGGAGCCGAGCGGTGGCAGGGACTGGGCTTCCCTCTGGCACCCCCTTTCTGACAGTGCAGCTCTCCTTACACATGGCCCAAGCCAGAGTGGTCCCTGGGCCCCCGGAGCTCCATCAGAGTTGGTGACTAACATCTTGACGGTTCTGCTACAGCGAAGGTTCTGGAATCTATCTCCCCACTACACCCCCTGTCCGTCCCCTGTACCTCAAGCCTGACCCTTGCTGGGGACACCCAGAGTCACTGCCTGCTCCTGCTCAGGACGCGTTAGTGACACCCATCAGCTCGGGGTCCGCCGGGCCCTTCTAGGTGGCTCCCCACAGCCAGCAGGCTGCTCGTTGCCCCTGGAAAGGCCCGGGCGGCCGGCGGCGGTGCCTCGGCTCTCCGGCCATCGCCCTGCCTGGGATTCGCTCTCCCCTCTCCAGCGTCCGCACTCACCTCCCCCTCCTCTGATGCTCAAAGCACCCTACTCCGGCTCTAGGCTCCATCTTGCTGCTTATAGCAACGAAGACAGCACTCTCCTTTTACAAACAGGAATCCCCACACAACAGCTTGTCAGCAAGTATTTGAACGAATGAGACTTGAACCTCCCCACACAGGATGGCAGCACCCATCAGTCACACCCCAGAGCCCAGGAGGGCGGCTGGTCCCAGCCACAGAGCTCTGCTGGCCTCTGCTTGTGCCTGCACCGCCCCTTCTCCCTTCACCCAGGCACCGGCCAAGCCCCCACTTCCTTCAGGGGCCTCTGCTGGTGTCCCCTGCACTGGTCCCTTTGCCTGTGAGCCCCTGGCACCCACAGCATCTGTGCCTTTCATGCCTGGCTTTGCCCCAAAGGGCAGACTCCGCCGTGGGGCAGAGGGAGAGTAGTTTGCACTTGTCTGCAGCCCCCCACAGGGCAGGGCAGGGCGTGTGTGGAGCAGGAGCCGGGTACACTGTGGGCGCCCCAGGAACATCATCGCAAGAACAGGCAGGGGCGGGCATTTGGCCCAGGGTTAAGAGGCCCCACGCCGGAGCACTTGACTCCAGCTTCCTGGTAATGGGCTTCCGGGGAGGCAGCAGATGGCGGCTCAAGTTCAAGGGTCCTTGCCATTCATGTGGGAGACATGGATTGAACCTGAGCTCCCAGCTTCGGCCTGGTCCAGCCCCAGCCATGGCAAGCAGCTGGGGACTGAATCCGTGGATGCGAGATCTGTCTGTCTCTCGAATAAATAAATTAAAATGTAAAAATTAAGAAAAGAGCGGGTAGCTCTCAAGAGGGTGTGTGAGTTCAGGGCTGCCAATGGCAGCCTGGGCTGCAAGGTGGGTTCCCCCTGGCTCCCTGGCTCCCCCGGTGAGCTGGGAAAGTTCCTGCCCCCGCCCCCGACACACACACACACACACACACATACACGCATACACACCAGGCCTGGTGCTGCATCTCTGTCCCCTGCAAGCCGAGCCAGAGGCCTGGGCTGTTCTCCCCCCGCGGTGCCTGGTGCCTGTCAGCTGAAATCACCCTCATGGGTGCAGTCATCCACGTCTCCCACAGAGCCATAGCTCCCATAGCCAGCTGCCCCTCCGAGCCAGACCTTGGCAAAGTCACCCCGGACAGGGACAGGCAGAAACCCCGGCCGTGACTCCAGCCGCTGAAGGAAGGGGGCCGCCTGTGCCGTACACCTCGCTGACCCCGGCCTTCAGAGGTCACGGCAGGAGCCCGGGACTCCCTACAGGTAGACCATTGTCTGCAACTCCGTCCTCGCCTGGGCCCCGCACTGGAGAAATGCTCGTTAGGGGTCCTGATCCCCGAAGACCCCAAGGGGAGAGCCCCCAGAAACAAGACCTCAAGAGGAGGCTGAAGGAGCCTCAGCGACCCTGCAGTTGTCCAGATGTAAAAACAAAACAAAACAAAACCTGATGTCATCAAGGAGCCTCAGACCCCACAGAGGGAGGCCACAGGCCCAGAGCCACTCACAGCGGTCGAGACAGGGGGATTCCAGCCCTGGGGGGCCTGCACTGCGTAGGAGCCGCCCCCCTGCACACTGACCTGGCCCCGAGGGGCTTTTGCCCAAGCTGAGCTGCCGAAGCCGCCTCTGGTGGGCACGCCCCCCGCAGTGCACCTGCGCCTGGGCGGCGGAGTTCAACTGGATGTTACACACATCACAGAGCGTGTACGACGGCCGCTTCCTCTCCCGCTTGGGCTTCGGCGCTTCGGGGGGCCGAGGGGGGCACTCCGCAGGGCCAGCTGTGGGGGGCTCCTTCTCACCCGGAGGCGATGGGCTCAGCGGCCGCTTCATACCTGAGCAGACAGAGAAAGAGAGAGAGAAATCGATGCGGCAGCAGCCAGGGGCCCCGCATCCCAGCTGAAACGCCCCAGTCTTTGGTGACCCCCAACCCAAGGAGAGGCAAAGGGGGCGTCATGGGATCTGTTTCAAGCACAGCAGCATTACAATGTATGGGGACTGTGCAGGGTGTCAGAAACACCCACACACAAGGAGGCTGGCCAAGATGCCTGGGGCTTGAGAGGGCCACAGGGCAGAGTTCAGGGCTGGGGAGAGGAGGCCGCTGGGGGAGACAGCGGTGTGGCCGTGCAGTCACACGTTGGGAAGCCGGAGTCCTGTTTGCAGCCCCACAGCAGGCGCTGACACCCCTGTGACAGGCAAGCATGTGGCAGTGCGTCCTGGGGACACAGCAGCCTCTGCCCAGGGACCTAATCTTCCTGCACCTTGCACCCAGCAGGGTGACGCTCACCAGTGGTGACAGGGTGCGAAGCCACCCCAGCCCCTGCCCCACAGGGCTCCAGAGGCCTTTGCTGCCTTGGTTACCCATAATGAGACCACACTTGGTGTTCAGGGAGAGATCTGGGCCTGTTGAATACACACACACACACGCACACACATGCATTTACATGTATGCACACACATGTGCGTGCACACACACACATGCACAGGCACACACGTGCACATGCCCCCTCAACCTGGACCCAGCCATCACCCAGGCAGGCTTTTGCCTCCAGCTCCCTTCTCAGAGACACTCTGACATGTCGGCCCCCAACTGTCCCTCAGGGACTGCACGGCTCCCTTTCTCAGACCGCACTGTGTCCGCTTTTACTTCTCCCTGCCTGTGTTAGGTGGGGCTTCCGGGGAGCAGAGCCCGTGTCTCCCCCTCAGACCGGGGCAGCCTCAAGGTGAGGGCCTGAGTGAGGTCTGACTGAGCCCATTTCCTGGTCCAGACCGAATTATGTCCCCCTCAAGATCGTGCTGAAGGGGCCGGTCTTAAGCAGTGGGTTAGGCCACCGCCCGTGACACCAGCACCTGTTTGAGTCCTGGCTGCTCCACTTCTGATCCAGCTCCCTGCTAATATACCCAGGAAAGCAGCAGAAGATGGCCCGAGTGCTTGGGCCCCTGCACCCATGTGGGAGGCCCTATGGTGTTCCGGGCTCCTGGCTTTGACCTGGCCCTGTATTGGCCGTTGCGGTCATCTGGGGAGTGAGCTAGGGGATGCCTCGGGCCCAGGCTCCCAGCAAATCAGATCATGATCATCTCATCAGGCCCCACCCCCAGTGATGGGGCCCACTCCCGAGGAACCACCTGCAGTCCCGGATGCCCTGCCCTACCCTTGGGAAGCTGCCTGTCGTTCTCTGGGCCGTGGGCCCAGGCAACCTGTGTCTGTCATGACACACGTGGGGACCGCGTGTGGGTGGATCAGATGGAGCAGGAGCTCTGAGCCGATTCACAGCTGACTCGAATCCGTGGTCGCTTACTGGCTGGGCGACCGGAGCTCTCCCCGATCTGTCCATCTGTCAAATGGGCAAATGGCAGGAGGGGCAGTGAGTAAGAGCTCCTGAGTCACAGGCACGCACGCCACTGTGAGCATTGGACGAGCTGTCCGCCAAAGCCAGCTACTATTAACCCGCGATGGGTCTGGTTTTTTAAATTAATTAATTAATTAATTTGAAAGGCAGAGGCAGAGAGAGATGTTCTTCCACCCACTGATTCACTCCCCAGATGGCCACAATGGCCAGAGCTGTGCCAATCTGAAGCCAGGAGCTTCTTCCGGGTCTCCCACGCGGGTGCAGGGGCCCAAGCACTTGGTCCATCTTCCACTGCTTCCCCAGGCCATAGCAGAGAGCTGGATGGGAAGTGGAGCAGCCGGGACTTGAAACAGCACTCACGTGGGATGCTGGCGCTGCAGGCAGCGGCTTTACCCACTACACCACAGTGCTGGTATGATGGGTCTGTCTTGCAGCCGGGGAGCAGAGTCACCTTAGCCATCACCCTGCACGTCTATCATGATCGTGGTTGCTGTGGCCGGCTCTGTTAGCCCTTCCTTTGTGGAGGGGAGCCTGCGGCACTCAGCGTGTGTGCGTGTCACCGCCTAGCTGGGCCCCCGTGTGGGCGGCACGGTGCCCTCATCACAGAGGGAGACATGGTAGATGGCTGGGTGTTACATGTTTAGAGGCGTGCACACCCAGATTCAGTGTTGAAATCCTAACCTCCTGTATTTCAGAATGCGGCTCCACCTGGAAACAGGGGCACTGCAGAAGCTGCTAAGATGAGGGGCTGCGCTGTGGCACAGGGGGTTAAGCCGAGGCTTGCGATGCCAGCACCCACATCGGAGCACTGGTTCAAGTTCTAGCTGCGCTGCTTCTGACCCAGCTCCATGCTGATGTGCCTGGGAGAGCGGCAGACGCCCATTCCACCCTGTGTCACGTGGGAGACACAGATAGGGTTCCAGGCTCCACCACCTTGCAGCTGTTTGGGGAGAACCAGTGGATAGACGATGTCTCCCTCTGTCACTCCCTCTCTCCCACCATACTGCCTTTTAGATAAATCAAATAAAATCTTTTTAAAAAGATGAGGCCTGGGGCCGGTGCTGTGGCATAGCAGGTTAAACTGCCATCTGCAGTGCTGGCATCCATATGGGTGCTGGTTTGAGTCCTGCTGCTCCACTTCTGATCCGATTCCCTGATGAGATGCCTGGGAGGGAAGTGGGGGATGGCCAAGTCCTTGGGACCCTGCACTCAGGTGGGAGACACAGAAGAAGCTCCTGGCTCCTGGCTTTGGCTTGGCCCAGCTCCAGCTGTTGTGGCCATGTGGGGAGTGAGCCAGTGGATGGAGGATCTCTCTCTCTCTCTGTCTCCCTCTCTCTCTCTCTCTCTCTCTCTCTGTAATTTTGAATTTCAAATAAGATAAATCAATCCTAAAAAAAAAAAAAGATAAGGCCACACTAGTGTAGCATGGGCCCCTAGTCCTCTACAGATGAATGGTGTCCGTCTACAAAGGGGAGACTTGGACACAGACTTGCACACAGGGAGAAGGCCATGGAAGATGGAGCAGACAGCAGGGGGTGCGCCCATGAGCCCAGGAACCCCAGATATCGCGGCAGCACCTGCCAGGGGCCCGGCACGAGGACAAAGCAGATTCTACTTCACAGCTCAGAGAGACCCAACCTTATGAATAATCAGGGAGTGAACCAGTAGATGGAAGACTTTTCTCTCTCTCTCTCTATCTGTACCTCTCTCTGTAACTCTTTCAAATAAATAAAATAAATCTTTTAAAAATCATCTTTTAAAAAAGTGAAAATAACTTAAATTTTTTTAAAAGAAGGAAGCACCCTTGCCAGCACCCCCCGCCTTGATTTGATGTTCTAGAATCCAGAACTGGAAGATGATAAATCTCTGTTAAGCACTCCCCTCCCCCCAGTGCGTGGCACTCTGTTGTGGCTGCCGTAGCAAATTAATGCACCAAGGGTTTGACCCTGCTGCGATCTTAGGTGCCTAGTGGTTTGAGGGTCCCATTCCCCCTGCCTGGTGCAGTGGCTGGGCTGCAGTACCAGAGATAGCCTCCAGGTGGCACAGCTAGCATCCAGTGGGAAGACCAGCCGGGAGACCCAGTAAAGCCCAGGGCAGGAGGAGGGCAAAGACCACCCCTCAGTCAGCAAGAGGCTGCTAGGCTGCACCCACCGCCCATCCCCTCCCCCGGTTTGAGCCATGTCATGGGTCCAGGGGCCTGGACACAGCCCCTTCCCCATGAAGTCACGCTGGAGGTCACTGTGAAAAGGGCCCCCAATGCTGCCGGGAGCCCCCAGCCCCTATTCTGCACCCTCAGCTCCAGACAGTGGTGATGGGGCCATCTCCTGCCTCCCCCGCCCTCCCTCCCAGCGGGACGAATGGGCAGGAAGGAGGTCCCAGGTGCAAAATTGTGTGTGTGCGTCGTCGGTGGAGGGGGGGCGGGTAAGGAGGGTCCAGCTCCCCAGGGAGGAGCAGAAGTGACTTCCCCAGCCGTGCCAGGAGGGCTGCCTGTCGCGCCAACAAGGGGACGGGGTATTTTGAAATCTCAGTGCAATTTATGACAGGCGGGCTGGGGACGTGGCCCAAGAGAGTGGACAAAAATCTGCCAGGCAGCCGATTAAACCTCCGTGATATACAACCGCTGGCCTCGAGGGCCGTCTGCATGCCGGGCTAATTGCGTCCCCCGAGCCAGGCTGCTGGGCCTGCTGCGGCCTGTCCTGCCTGACCCAGCCTTCCCAGCTGTCCCGGAGGAGCTGCCCTGCTCTGGCCCAGCGAGGGCTCCCGCTCAGAAAATGTGGAGGGGTGGGCACGGCCCAGGGCACACACAGGCCTGGGGCACCCACAGGCGAGCGTCACAGCACTTCCACCACCAGTCCCGTGCCCTGGCCCCTGCTCAGAGCCAGCAAGCCTCACCCAGCTGGGCCCGCCCGGGGACAGGGCCTAGTCCACACGTTCCCTTTAACAGATGATGAGGAGATGGGGGTCCGGGGGTCCAAGAACAGTGGACTTGCTTCCCAGTCAATGGAAAGATGGCACAAGAGCTGATTCTAGAAGCTTCCCTGCCTATGTCCACCACTCAGCTGCTTAAGCCCACCTTTCCTTGTAACAATGGGCGCTGGGTGCTCCTGCGAGTGTCACAGCCCCATGAGGTGGCACTGGAGAGCCTGTTATCCACATCACAGATGATGGCCTCACAGAGTGAGAGAGAGAGAGAGAGAGAGGGAAAGGTCTTCCTTCCGCTGGTTCACTCCCCAAATGGCCGCCACGGCCAGTGCTGCGCCGATCCGAAGCCAGGAGCCGGGTGCTTCTTCCTGGCCTCCCATGCGGGTGCAGGGCCCAAGCACTTGGGCCATCCACCACTGCCCTCCTGGGCCACAGCAGAGAGCTGGACTGGAAAAGGAGCAACCGGGACTAGAACCGGCGCCCATATGGGATGCCGGCACCGCAGGCGGAGGATTAACCAAGTGAGCCATGGACCCCAGGTGCTCGCGTCCTTAACCACTGCTCTCTCCCACCTCTCCCTAGAGCCTGCCAAGGGCTACTCTGTACAGGGTGGCGAGGGAGGAGTCTCAGAGTCTGGGAGGGGCTCCTGGGAGGGTTGGGCTGGAGCCAGAGAGGCGGGAGGAGGGGCAAGGGGAAAGCCGAGGAAAGGAGCTGGCAGGTGCCTGTCTGTCCGGGATTTCCACAGGAAGGGGGAGAACCCTCCCTCCGTTCCCCACCTTCCCAGGCAGCCGTGAACTTGAAGCAGGTTCACACAAGGAAGCTGGGGGCCCAGGGCTTCTGTCTGCCTGTCTGTGCGTCTGTCCCGGTGGAGCTAGGGGTGAGTGTGGGGCTCACGGGGTCCTCAGCCGCTGCAAAGGGGCGTGGCAGGGAGAGACTTGGAGGCCACCAGGTGAGGAGTGGCGCCTGGGCCAGGGGTCCTCAGGAGAGCTGCTTCTTCCTCCCAAAGGGGAAGAAGTTTCTAGGCCTCCTAGAAGTTGTCCCCAGCGTTTGGCAGGGCAGGAGGGCCTCTCTCACCCAGCCCTTAATGAGCCCAGTTACTCTCTGGCATTTTCCTCCGCGGCTGCCAACGGCCACCCTCCCGCGGCTGAGATGAGAGCCTGGCTGGCCAAAGTGGGCCGGTCCCTGCCCTCTGGGCTTCGGTCCCCATCCTTAAAGAGGGGCGTTGGGCTGGGCTGATCTCTCAGGCAGAGCAAGGGGTGGCGCCCCACCTGAGCTGCAGGGAAAGGCAGAGTGGGGGCTGGGAGCAAACTGGCCAGCAGCGCGTGCCCAGCACCTGCCTGGCACTGCCAAAACATCGTCACCCTCAAGCCTCAGAACCAGAGTCCCAGAGAGCAAGCGAGCAGGGCCAGGCGGCCCCACGCTCTGACGCAGACAGGGACAGGGATGAGGACCTGGGGGCCTCGCCCCATCAGTCACGGGTCACAAGCAGGGGTCCAGGACCCTCCCACCACCACCCCCAGCTGCACAGCGCAGCCCTCTCTGTTCTCACCCCAGCACAGTGTGAGCCCACACCCCCAGGCCCAAATGCCCTCCCCCCAGGGCCCCCTGCAGTTCCTGGGGCTCTCCCAGGGCAATGAGGGGGTACATGGTCACACAGGGCTTATATGACCTGTGGGTGCAGGGAGCTGGGGTCACCCCCCACCTCAAGGAGTGCTTGCCCAGGGCAGATCCAGCTGTCAGGGGCCAGGTGGGGGCCCCATGGGAGCCAGGCCGAGGCAGCCACTGTATTCCTGGCACAAGTGGCAACAGAGGAAGCTTGTCACCTTCCCCTGGGGACTTCTGGGTGTGGGGGTTTGGGGCGGGGCTGGCTGGGAGCTGTTGAAAGTCAACACTCAGCTCCAAGGAAAGAGAGGAAGAGGGCATGGGAGGTGAGGGAGCACCTGGCCCAGAGATGAGGTCACCGGCCCCCACTGGTCTCCTCCGGGTCTGTCTGCCCTCACTCCCCATCGTGTAGGCTTCCTCCCGATCCCCCAAAGGTTGGAGCTGCCTCTCCTGACAGCGAGAGTTCCCCCCAAAGACCTCAGCACCCTCGGAAGGAAGTCCTTTTTGCTGTCTAGCTGGCGTCCCTCCTTGCAGGGTCCACAGTGGCAAGGCAGAGCAGGTGCCTCTGAGGTGGGGGGTCAGGAGGTAGCGTTAGCCTCTGCACCCCCTTTCTTGCCTCTGCTGCCAGGCGAAGCCTAGGGAACCCCACCTGTCACCTTGCCACCTCCCAGCACGCAGGCACAGCCCCACCCATCCACCACCTGCTCTCCGCCTCGACTTCCCCATAGGACCAAGGAAGACTGCTCCCCCAAACCCCACTGCCCGCCCTTGGTGCCCCCACTTCCAAGACCGGGCGGGGCGGGGAAACCGAGTCCAGCTGGAGGGAGGAGGGCTGGGGACTCCGTGGACTGGTTCAGAGGTGTGGGTGGGTGGCAGGATGCTGCCTCCCCGTGCTGAAGATGAGGCACTGTGGTGGGGGGGGGGGGCGGTGGAGGCCTCCAAAGACTGAGAGTGATGGAGGGGCAGGGGAGGGAGGGCTGGCAGGTGCGCTCCCTGATCCTCAAAGACAAGAAGCTCCCCTCCCCACCCTTCCATTCTACCCCATCCCCAGGGCTCTGTGGGGTGCACTGATTTTTGGAGTCTCTGAACTCCTCAGGAAATGAAGGAGGGTTATTTAGCCCACCCAGGTTTCCAGATGGGATGGGGGGTTTCCCTCTCTGCCAGGTAGCGCCAGCCTCCTCGGGCCAGGGGGAGCTGGGGGTCCTACCATCCCCCTTGCGATCCCCTTCCTGATCTCAGTGTCCCATAGGTCTCCCGTTCTCCCTCCCAAATAAGATGAGGCAGAGTCTTCCCTTCTGCCCCCAATCCCACAAGGTCAAAGCCACCTGCACCCCATCACCCTCCAAGCCCCCCTCCTGACTACTGGGCCCGCGCAGCGAGTATGCAGCTCTGGAACCGAGAGCCAGTAGCGTAGTCCCCAGCCCGGCTCCCGCGCCTACCTGAAGGGCACTCCCGACCCGTGCCGGGCTGCGTCAAGCAGCCCCCAGCCACCAAGGGCGGCTAAGCTCAGCGAGTCCCCGGCCCCGCACACCCTGGGGCAGCCACCGTGTCCCTGGAGCCCGCCCCCAGCGGCCCGGCGCCGAGCAGGTGCCAGGAGGCACGCCGCCCTGAGCCGGCCGGGGCCAGGTGGCCCGGGAGATATGCTGTGCAGTGCTCTGGCTGTGCAGAGCCCCAGAGAGACTCAGGGGCTGGCCTGCTGCAGAGATGGGCCTGCTGGTGAGTACTCCCCGCTGTGGCTGTCCCCCGCGGTGTCCCTGGGCTGCCAGAGGTCCCGGAGCCTCAGGAAGGGGACCTCTAACTGGCTGTCTCCCACCAGCCTGCCACACCTCCCTGAGAACTGGCTCCTCTGTTGGGGAAAAGGAGGAGAAAGCTGAGGGTCCCTGGGAGCCAGGAGGGACCGTGTTCAGGCTCCATAACCACTCGGCTCAAGCGAGTTTGGTCCCCGTTTTGCAGACCGGAAACAGTAGGGGCCTTAAGAACTGGTTCAAAGCCACTGGGGAAGTGAGTGCCAGATGGGAGATGCCAGGCTGCTCCTGGGCCTCAGGGGAGAGAGCCAGAGCCCACGGGGGCTCCTTCCGTGGCCTGCGGGGCTGGGGTCCCTTCTGTTTCTCCAGCAGAATCAGTACCCGGGCTGCAGCACAGCACACAGGGGCAGGAAGCCAGCCAGGCAGGACGGGAGGCAGGGGCCAGTGGCTGGGCCTCCTGAGAGCCCTGCCATCTCTGTTCCTGGGGAGGCAAAAGAGAACAAAAGCCTGAGAAAGGGGGCAGACGTGGCCCCTGCATCCAGAGGAAGCGTGTGGGTGTGCTCAGCGACTTGGACAGGCCTGGGGCCGGGAGAACCCAGAATGCCGGTCGCACTCTGGGCTGCCACCCAGTCTCCCAGCACTTCTTCCTGATCCTGGTGCCCTTGATGCATTTCTGCCTCAGGACCTTTGCACCTACTGAGCTGTCTCCTGTTGCCGTCCCAGAACCCCCTCTCCCCAGCTCCTTTATTCTTTGTCTTAGCCCCATTTGCTGCCCTCTTAGTGGATCCCCCAAGCTATAATCCTTTAGTTGGGACACTTACCCGTCTCCCCCATCAAGGCTGGGCCTTTATTTCCCAGGTATCCAAAGCAACAGCACAACACTTGCTACATCCCTGACAGATGCTTGACAAATAGTTGTTGAATGAATGAACTTTCCAGTTTAAATCCATGTTCACTTGCACACTTTAAAGGGGTGAATCGGATGGTACACGAATCCTTATCCCAATAAAGCCGGCACCAAAATCGTTTCCGAGTCGTTCCAGGGTGGGGGTGACCGTCACGGTACACCGTGCCTGCCCGGCCACCCCCGGCACACTCAGCCACCCAGTCACGTTGCTCCCGCCACAGTCCACACCCCGTGTCTGTCAGTGGAGCAAGGCAGTTGCTCAGACTTGGAAGGGATCTTGGAGGTCATTTTGTTCTCTTTGGTAGCAGCCCTGACAAAATACTCTCTGCCTCTGCTTGATCATGTCCACGACGGGGAGCTCACTACCTCCCAACGCCCATCCCCTTGTCGGTCGGCTCATTCATGTTGGGGGGGGGGTTGCAACATAAGTTCCTAAATGCCCATGTGCTGGCCCTAGGCCTGCTCCCTGGACTTCTAGAAATAGCATGCTCCACCTTCTATAGCCACTAAGCACACTGGCAGCTTCTTCCCAAGTCTCTCCGGGCAGAATCAATGGCGTCCCGCCTACAGCCCTCTGAGTCCACCCAGACTTGCCCAGTCCTGGGGCAGAGCACGGGTGGCACCACCTCCCCTGGCCTCTGCCATCTCCGACACCGTCTTGCAGTCTTGAGTCGGCTCGGGGCACAGCGGAGGGCCCGTGAATCCCGGGGTCTCTTTTCAGGGGACGCATTGCTGAGTGCAGCCTCCCTGTCCCCGCCCGGGTTTCTGGAACTCTGAGTAGCAGGGCGGATGTTTGGGTTTGCTGGCCCCAGGTGCCAGGTTAGTGCCACCCACAGGAACGTGGCTGCCCCTAGACCTCTAGCATGACTCGCAGCCCTGGACATAGAACCCTGGCCTTTCTCGGCCCCCACTAACCCAAGGCCACCCCGCTGGAAGGGGCGGAGCTGGTTGCCTCCAGTCTGGGCTCGCTCTCCCCTTTGCACGTACCCCAAGCTGCCCAGTGGCTTTCATTCCTAAAAGGAGGCAGGGGGAGGAGGAAAACCCGGACAGCCCCTGCCGAGTAACTGGAGCTGCAGGTGCCCGACGGCGCAAGCCCTTCCTCGCCCTCCCTGCTCGCCCCAGGAAGGACCCAGGCCCCCCTTGCTTTGGCGGCATGAGCCTGGGCAGGGGGTGGGGGATCACCTCCGCAGGTGGCCCAACACAACCTGAGCCCCGCTCCCAACACGGGCTGCGTTAGCTGGATGTGACCGGTCCCCGCCTGAGACATGGGGCCGCAGAGGCACCGCCATAGCCTCCCGGAACAGGCTGTGCCCGTGTCCTGACCCCCCCCATCCTCCCCGGAGTGCTCTCCTTCTATGACGTGGTGTTAGCAAGGCTCCCAGCCGCAGCAAAGTCCGTGGCAAAGCTTCCATGCCTGCACTGTGCTCACAGCCCAGCCTAGGGTCAGCAGATGCCCCTGGGTCCCCGGACGGTGGGAGAAGCACCCCCCTGGGCTGGGCCCACCCCTCCCCAGCCAACCCACCAGCCCCACTGCAAAGGCAGAGGCCCACAGAGCCTGAACAAGTCCACCCCTCCCCCTCCTCCACCTTTAGCCTCCTAAAATAGCCCAGCGTCACCATGTGCCCTGGGCGGCTCCCCACCGGCCGCAAATCTCCCTGAAATCGAATCCCCATCCTGCCCAAGCAGGACGGCACCACCTCCTGCTACCACTGGCCAGCTCCCCCATGGAAACCCGGACAGATGTCCTTCACGGTGACCGGGACATAAATCCCCAAATAATGAGACAGGCGCTGGGAACACACAAGCAGACACGGTGCTAATTGGCTTGCTCCTGGGCAGGCACGCGGTGGAGACAACGGGCCTCGCTTTCCCAGTCGGTACACTGGGGTGCTGGGGTGTGTGAGGACTCCCTGGGGCTGCACAGCAGGAGTGGTACCTTTCTAGAACATCGCATCCCACGTGGGAAAGGGAAGCGGCGGGCTCCCCCGTCATCCCCACCATGAGCCAGAAACATCTTCCTCCCACTGATTAAAAAAAAAAAAAAAAGACAAACAAGACACCAGGCTCAGCTCCTTGGCGGACAGGCGAGGCCAGGGCGGAGAGGCCAGGGGGACGCGGCGCAGCCCCCTTCTTCCCGCGATGCTGGAGGCGAGTCCTGGATGAGCCCAAGGCCCTGGTCGCAGTAATCAGGAAGAGATTATCACATTAAACTTTCAAAGTCTGCTCAGAAAGCAGCAGCAGCAGCTGACAGCCCCGACTCCGCCGGCTTTCCCACCACCGCGGTCTCCTCCTGGCCCCGGGCCCGCGAGCTCCAGGC